CAAAACAAAAAATCATTCATTTTGCCCTTAGGAAAATTTTCAAGTAATTCTGGAGCTACTGAGCCAAAGGACAAAGGGAGCTTAGTGTGATAGAGGGGAAAGAATACTACAAATGGAAATGTATTTTTTAAAAAAATAGAGACAGGGTCTTGCTCTGTTGCCCAGGCTGGAGTGCAATGGCACAATCATAGCTCGCTGCAGCCTTGAGCTCCTGGGTTCAACTCATCCTCCCACCTCATTCTCCTGAGTACCTAGGATTATAGGAAAGTGCCACTGTGCCCAGCTAATTTTTTTAAATTTTTTTTTTATAAAGATGGCGGGGCCGGGGGTATCCCTATGTTGCTCAGGCTCGTCTTGAATTCCTGGCCTCAAGCAAGCCTTTCACCTCAGCCTCCCAAAGTGCTGGGATTACAGACATGACTGTGCTCGGTCTGGAAATATATTATATTCCTTAGTCTGTCATTAATTAGCAGTGTGACTTTGGGGCAGTTACTGCAATTTTTTGGTCTCCTCATTCTCATCAGGGATAAATTTAAGCTGATGGACCAGGGGATTTTAATGTTTTCCTCCATTTCTAGAATTCTGAGATTGCAATTCCCATGTAGGGAAGTGATTATGCCACAGAGGAAGATTCTTTCATTAGAGTTGTCAAATGAAAGTGTAAGATGACCAGTTTAATTGGATTTGAGGAAAACAGTAATTTTTTTAGTGTGAGTATATCCCATGCAATATTAGGGATATGCTTACACTACAAGATGATTTGTTGTTTATGTGAGATCCAAATTTAACTGAGCATTCTGTATTTTTTCTGGCAACCCCTGCCTTCCACCAAACATGTCTGCCCCACAGACAATGGAAGTGCTGGGGAGGGCATTTCTGCCTCTCTCCATCTTCTCACTGGCATGTCCTGATAGAAAGGAGCTGACTAATCTGGTTGGCCAGAATTTGTAACATTCCTTGGCCGCATTTGATTGACAGGAAGAACTGTGTCTACGGCAGAGCACTTGGCTTCCCCATTGAGCTTTACTGCCTGGACACAGGAACCATGTGTTCTTTTTTCCCTCCCTCTGTCTTGGGAGAGCCCCCAGAACATGGATACCCACGGGAAACAGGTGGGAACTCCTGCCTTTGTCCTGACCCTGCAGCCCTCATTCATTCCAATGGTCAAGTGAATGGACTTGCAGTTAGCTCCGCAGGCCCATTGATCATAGGCATGCCAGAACGCTTAGGTCCCAAGGCAGAGATTTGGAATGGGAGCAGAGGCACCATTTATCCTAACATTTAATCTTGTATTCTCTAGTGTAGCTTATACCAGTGAACACTGGATTTGGAGGCTTATAGGATGTTTGCTGGCCTAGTCATAAACTGACTTTTGGTTCCCGCTGGGCTGGTGGATTTCCATGTTTTCCCATTTGACCTAGAAGGGAAGAGCTTTGATACTTAGGTCCCAAGCCTCTTATATTATTGCTTTCTCTACAAATCAGACTCATTGGCCCATCTTGATTCAGCCTCACTGATTGCAAAAAATAAAAAGAAAAAGTGGATGGCATGTGAAATCATTAGAATGAATGGAGTAGGAGGACGGGATCAACTATAGGTCATCTTGGGACGACCTCTTACTTTTAGGAATGATCTTATAGCTTTATGTTGTAAATAACTGCTTGCTGTAAGAAAAATGATGGGGGGAGACTTAGTCTTATTATGCAGCATTTCCAGTTACAGACTTTAACAATGAGATGCTTATCAGAAGATACTGCTGGAGATCTTTTGCCAGCGGATGCTATCATCATAGTCACTGGGATTTTCATAGCTCAGGCCCTTATTTCTTGCCTGGACCTTGGCTGCATGCAGCATTGTAACTCCATGCCTCCTGTACTTGGCTTTCCTAAACGCAGAACTGATTATGACTAAAAAAGTTTACCCTTTCCTACAGAAGCAAGTCCAGACCCCATAGCATGGCACAAAAGCATTCCCAGGCTGCTTTGACATTTCCCACATTGCCACTTTTCTCCCACTACCAGACTCCCAGCTCCTGGGCACACTACGTATTCCCAGATAACCTTTAAGTGATCACCCAAATATTCTCCTTCATATCTCCAAGACCTTGTTCATGCTGGTCCTTTTATTTCTAATGCCCTACCTCTTGTCTTTCTGGCAAACATTTTCTTTTCTTTTCTTTTTTTGAGATGGAGTTTCACTCTTTTTGCCCAGGCTGGAGTACAATAGCGTGATCACGGCTCACCGCAAACTCCGCCTCCCGGGTTCCAGCGATTCTCCTGCCTCAGCCTTCTGAGTAGCTGGGATTACAGGCGTGCAACACCATGCCTGGCTAAGTTTTGTATTTTTAGTAAAGATGGGGTTTCTCCATGCTGGTCAGGCTGGTCTCGAACTCCCAACCTCAGACGATCCATCCGCCTTGGCCTCCCAAAGTGTTGGGAGTTACAGGCGTGAGCTACCGCGCCAGCCAAACATTTTCTTTTGAGTATTAATTCAAGTGTCAGCTCTCCAAAGACTTGTTGAATTCCTCTGTCCCTGGCAGAATTCCTGTCCCCCTCCTCTGTGTGCTCAGACTCCACCATCCTGCATGGTGATGATTGGGCCAGGTATCTATTTCTCCCATGGGTCTAAGAGCTCCCTGAGGGCAAACAGCTTGTCTCATTCATCTTTGCATCTCCTCTTCAATATCACAGGCTTCTCCTTTTCCTCTATCACAGACCCTGGCACAGCAGGGGCATTCAATAAGTGATTGTTGCATAAATGAAGACCTCAGAATATGGTCCAGATATCTCATATTTAAGTTGTTTTAATTAGGTGGTGTGTGTGAATTGTCAGACCAAATAAATCTTCAGGGTGGAAATGATTGAATTGAAATATTAGTGTAGGAACATACTGCAGCTCATAAAAACCAAATAGATACTGTAATTTAAAGAGTAGGATATTAAATCTTTATCTCAAAGCACAAATCAGAATAGTGCCACAGCATGAAACATTTGTAATAGGCTAACATTAGCATTTAGTATTAGCACGCAGTAATCCTTCCTTCTTTGAAGTAGAGAATGCCTTTTTGGTATCAAACAACATCTCATCAACATATGCATTATGATTTATGGGAGGGATTTTTTTTTCCTTGTTATGTAAAATTCTTCGGATCAGCAAAATATCTCTGTTGGCAAGTACTTTGTGAGAGGCTGTGAGACTGATCACAGGGATAAAAAGTATTTATTTGGTACTTTGCCTAAATGAAATCTGGAGTGACAGCTCTTCTAACATTTTATTTCCTTCAATACACATTGGGCATAAATGCAGCTCTCAAAGTCTAAGGACCTTAAAGGCAAAACCACAAAGCTGGAAGCACTCTAGTGAAGGAGCACTGGACTTGGAGTCAAGATTTTAGTCCCAATTTTGTTACTAACCGGCTGTGTGATCCTGAGGAAGTCCCATAACCTCTGAGAGCCTCTGGTTTCTCCATCTTTACATCGAGTGTTGTAGTGTATGATCTCTGAAGGTATTTGCTCCATCACTTTGATTCCACATGCTCGTCTGCAGAGACAGATTTACTGTGACTTTAATGAAGCGGAAGCTTCAGGGCTCTTTACTTGCTCAGCTCCTTCCAAAAGCCCCGCGAGAGGCCCCATCAATGTCTTTTACATGGTCACATATTTTTGCAAAGTTTCAAAAGTAAGATTTTTTTACTGAAATTGGTTAAGACAGCTGTCTCTTTTTACTCCCTCCTCCTCATCACAAATCTTCAGGTGCAGGTGGGCCTGAAAGTGACAGCAAGCATTTTTGGAACGGAGTTGGGGCTATGTCGATTTTGGAAGGGAAACTGAGTTGGGGATGTGTTGATTTGGGGTTGGTGGGTATATCTTTTGTAGTTTATAGCTACTCTGTATACAGTTACACTGTTACTAGCCATCCTAGTATAGGTATGGCTTCCAGGAATACTTCTACCGCCCACTGTGCAGGTTCCCCCAGCACTGTGGCATGAAGGTGCAGGGTATTATGGGAGTAGGTACTTGTCCTACAATACCTGGCACTAGAAGCATGTTGGGAGTGGAAAAGAAACAAGATTTGAAATGGATAGAGCCAGAAGCAAAGCTGTGGAAAATTCTCCCAATCATCAGACATACAAAATTGGTAAATGGATGACTCAGTTCACAATGATAACTAAACAAAATGAAAATATTCTTCTGTCAGGAGTATATGCAGTAATGCAACATGCACAATTATAAACACATTCTTAATTTTTTTGATGGTAATTGCTCAGAATAGAATCCACCAGAATTCTTGTGTTTGTAAGGACAAAAATCTTTAATAATATGATGAAAAGTCAGTCTGTGTGTGCTGTTTCAGGTTTTATGTATCTCAAAATGTCTTAGTATATTTGATGCATCTTCTCTTGACAAATTCTGGTGGTTTTAGGTGAAATGGCATGCAATTTTGACACAATGAAACAGGAAGTCCTGAAGAAACAAGGGTTCTAGAGACAGAACTCCCATGTTCATCAGTATGGTAGCAATAGATGTAGTATAAGGGTAATTTGATCCTACTATTATGTAGCTCAATATATTTGTATTATATTGTATAATATAATTGTATACAATATATTATATTTGCAATTTTAAAATGTGTCTCTTTTCTTTTTCTTTTTTTTTGAGACGGAGTCTCACTCTGTCACCCAGGCTGGAGTGCAGTGGTGCGATCTCGGCTCACTGCAACCTCTGCCACCCGGGTTTAAGTGATTCTTCTGCCTCAGCATCCCATGTAGCTGGGATTACAGGTGCCTGCCACCACGCCTGGCTAATCTTTGTAGTTTTCCTGGAGACAGGGATTCACCATGTTGGTCAGGCTGGTCTTGAACTCCTGACCTCATGATCCACCCACCTCAGCCTCCCAAAGTGCTGGGATTATAGGTGTGAGCCACCGCGCCCGGCCTAAAATGTGTTTTACTTGTTCTTGTTTGTGCCTTAATTTCAGATGAATTTTGTTTTTATTTTCAGAGTGGTTGATCATACTATAAAACTTAAATGTGAAGGGAAGGCTGGAACATACTGGAAACTGAAGACCTGACAAAAAGAAGGAACTTTTAGGGACAAGCAGAAACTTCAAAATGTTGAGAACTCTCTTGTATCATAATAGAAGATAAAAACTCTGATGGTCACACTCATAAAGACAACAAACAAACAAAAACCCAGAATCACAAAAGCAAAGAAAATGTAGGTAAAACAATAACAGAAGAGGTAAAGAAATTTATGTGAATTGGGACACTCTGGGGCACGGAACAGAAGAGGAGAAGAAACATGAAAGTAATGCTCTGCACAAGGATGTCTGAGTGTCCTTGATTCCAAGGGCATTTAAAATTAGCCACTGGATGAGAACCATGAAATGCCATTACTCTTACAGCTCCCATGAAAGACACTGGATGGAGCTTATCCTGACTGGACCAAACTCTAAAAAATTTTACATGATATTATAATGAGTTGAAAGTTGAACCAAAAAACAACGCTTTTCTAGATTACCAAGAATAAAACACAAATTTCTAGCTGACTGAATTAATTCTCATCTCTCTATAGAAAGATCATATATTTTTTTTATCATGCAAAGAGATAGCTAAAAACTTAGGAAAATATAGAAGTGTGTTAGGCAGCTCATGAGTAAATGGGTTTTTTCCTTTTTTCCTCTGGCATTTTGTGATGTTTGCGGTACTTTTCGGCTTTTAGAAATTTGTATTTAATCAGGATTTGTTACTTCATTGTAAGTAAATATTAAATTTATACTCAATCTTTGTTTGTAATTTTGTATATTTTTTGGTGAAAAGAACTCCCCAGATTATATAAGCTTTAGGCCCCACAAAATCTAGACCTGTTGCTGTATCCTTCTAGAGCAGTGTTTCTCAAACTTCAATGTGCATTTGAATCTCCTGGGGCTCCTGTTAAAATATAGCTTCTGAGATGATGCATTTCTAACAAACTCCCAGGGCTGACACTGCCCATCTGGGGATCACACTTTGAGAATCAAAGCTCTAGAACAATAGTTCTTACCTGGCTGTGCATTGGGATCACTTATAGTGCTTTTGGAAAATACATTGTGTCCAGGTCCCACCCCATTCTCAGTAGGCTTGGAATGGGGTCCTACACTTTTTTTTTTAACTCCACAGTTTGGGAAAGAAGAACTTTCATATATTGTTGGTGGGAGTACAAATTGATACAGCCAATTTTCAGCTTGATTTGGCAATATCTTCCTTGGAGAAATCAAAAGCCAGTTGGCAAGGCAATCTGAAAAAGGCATTTACTGATTCCCACCCCATGGTCACAAAGCAGATATAGAAGAATGGGCTTTGGCTGAAATATATGATGGGCACAGGTATATTCTCTATAATCTAGTAGTTCCACTTCTAAAAATGTATCCTAGTAGCATTATACATATCAAGACTACATATAAAGTTATTCAATTCCATATTACTTATAGTAGGGGAAGACTGAAAGCAGTCTACATGCCCATCAATGGATTATTCAAATTATGGAACACTTTTCCAATGACATAACAATAGCTAATCTTAGTTAAGCAATTATTATGTTATGTAAGGTAGACATTGTTCTACCTTATTTATAAGTATTAACTAAATTAGTTTTTATAACTATCATATTTCCATTTTACAAATGGCCTAATTTATATTATTGGCATGGGAAGATGTCCAAGGATATAATAAGCAAAAAGCAAGTAGCAGAACATTATGTATGATATATTATGCATCACCATTATAATACACTAAAAGGTAATTCACTTGAATCTGATGCACACTCCCCGGTAGGTAACAGCTGATCCAGTATAAAAATGAAAGAACATTCTGTTACCTCAAACAAGCTGTCTTCATGCAATTTAGTTGACTGGTAGCACTTTCAGAAAAAGACAGAGTAAAAATGGTCGGGTCAATTTGGTGGTGTAGAGTATTCTATCGATCAATGGTCAAAAGAGTAGTCATTCTGAGTGATCTTTAACATTAGGGTTGATGGAAGAAATGACCCGTAGTTGTCCCTACATCTCATTTCTCTTAGGACACACACTTGGGAGAAATCGTCCAGTGCACTTTGTCCAGGCCTTTCACTTGTACCAACTACTTTGCATTATGCTGTTTTCACTTGAGTGGTTGCGCCTTCTAGTCCACAGCAAAGTTTTTTTTTTAATGTATATTTTTTCCCAACACTTTATTATGGGAATTTTCAAACACACAGAAAAGATAAAAGAAATTTACAGAGAATACTCATGTATCTATCAGTTAGATTCTACAGTTAACATTTCACTATACTAGTTTTTTTTGCGTATCTATTTATCTCCCCTTGCATCCATTGATCCACTTCATCTTTAGGATGCATTTCAAAGCAAGTTGCTGACATCAGTACACTTCCCCCTCAATACTTTAGTATGTGCATCAATAACCCTAGTTTAGTATTTGTTTATTCTTTTTCTTTCCTTTTGAAGTAAAATTTATACACAAGGAAATGCACATATCTTAAACTTCCATCAAGAAAGAACATTACCATACCTGAGAGTATCCTCATGCTCCTCCGCTGGGGTACTCCCTGCCTCTCCACACCAATCCCCCCAGGTGACAACTGTTCTGATATCCCCCTTACCATACATACCTGCTCTAGAACATCATATAAATGGAATGATACAATATGTCTTTTGTATAAGCTTTATTCCACTCAGCATAATGTTTTTGCCATTCACCCACATTATTGATCATATTAGTACCTTGCTCCTTCTTATTATTGAGTAGTATTAGATTGTATAAACATAGCATAGTCTATTTTCCTATTTTGATGGATATGTTGGCTTGTTCTGATTTTTGTTTATTATGAATAAAACTTCTGAGTATTCTTGTACAAGTATTTTTATGGGCATACATTTTCATTTCTCTTGGCAAAATACCTAGGAATGGAATTGCTGGGTCATAGGGTATACTTTTAGGTTTGTAAGAAACTGTCAGATCTCTTCCCAAAGTGGTTGTAACATTTTACACTCCTACTAACAGTGCATGGGAAGCCAGTTTCTCTACATCCTCTCCAACATTTGGTGCTGTCAATCTTTAGCCATTTTTATGGTTGTGTAGTGTTATCTCATTGCAGTTTTAATTTGCAGATCCCTGAATGTGTGTAGGTGTATATATGTGTGTATTATATAATATATATTATTGTTTCTTTCATTTATTTTGAAGTAATTTCAAAGTTTCCAGAATAATACCAAGAACTCCTGTACTCCCTTCACCAGATTATCCAATTGTAATGTTTTATTGCATTTGCTTCATTGCCCATTCTCTCTCTACTTATACCTGCGTTCGCGTTTTTCTGAACCTTTAGAGATGAAGGTGAAAAAAGATGCGTTATCACCACCCTCCCATTCTAGATTGCATTTTCCCCAAATAAAGACATTTTTCTATAGAATCAGCATATGATCCTTCATATCAGGTTATCAACAGTAGTATAATACTGTCCAGTCCACAGACCCCATTCAAATTGTGCCAATGAGCCCCCAAATCTCTGCTTTTTCTTTGTGTTCCAAGATATTATCCATGAGCCTATGTTTAATTTAATTGTCATGTTTCTTTGGATTCCTTCAAACTGCTACAGCTTCTGTGTCTATGCCTGTCTTCCATGTGCTTGACAGCTTTGAAGAGTACAGGTCCTTCATTCAGTTGAATGACCTCCAAGCTGGGTCCACCAGATGTTTCATCATGGTTTTACTGAGGTTATACATTCTGGGCAGTAATTCTACAGAAATGCTGCTTTGTTTTTCTCAGTGCCTCACACCCAGTGGCACATGGCACCTCTTCCATCACCACTGGTGATGCTCACCTCGATTGCTTGACCATGTTTTCTGCCAGCTCCCTCCTCCTTAGATTCAACATTTTGCCTTTTGCAACTTATTTGTGTTTTGTGGGAACATATTTTCATTTCTGAAATTAGTCAATATCCTGTTCCTTATCAAACTTCCAACTCTGGTCTTAGCATCCATTGACTGAATCAACTGCCTTTATGTAAGTTTCCACATGATGAGTGTCTATTTCCATCACTGGTTCTATTTTTATGAGTTGGTATTTTACTATAAGAAATAGCATATTATTTTCCATGCTTAAACTACTGCCAATTTGACCCTTTCAAGCTGGTTCTTGTGTCCTTTTGACATATCCCCGTTGTTCATTGAGCATTTCCTTATTTTCTGGCATAAGAAGATGTTCCAAGTGCAACTTGTATATTACCTGTTTCAGCCCTGGAATCAGTCATTTTTCTAAGGATCCTTGGTTTCTTTTAGTAAAGGATACTATTTAGAAGCCAAGATCTGGCTAATCAGTATGTTAATTGCTGCTGGGGTATCATGGCTTTTAGGCCTATTCAGTGCACAGAGCTAGGAAAAAAACAAATTTTTCATGTCTGTCTAGCTACATATGTATGTATTTATACAGCTGTATGATTTCTATATCAATCTCTGTGTATGTTATACATACATATAATAAAAGCATAAGTCCATACCAATACCCCTATTTTGATCCAACCCCTCAGGATTATTTTCTAGATTTCCCCTTCTGGTATTTATAAATACCAACTTTAGTAATGAGGATTTGGCTCCTACTATCTTCAATATAGTTACTTATTTACTTAATCTCCCAACGACATTGCTGTCTCTTCTGCCCACCACCTCCACATCTTACCTCCTTCCTAACCTAGGTCTCACTGGCTCCTGCCCTGCATCCTTGGTTTTTGAGTTGCCTGTCCATGCCTCATCACAGCTCTCTAACCCCCTCACCTCCTTGTGATTTCAGCTACTGTGCTGACTTTTCCACACTGGGAAGGAAAACAAAGGGACAATGTAGCAGGTTTCAGTGGTAAAACAAACAAACAACAAAAAATTGAACAAAACCAACCCTTCATATCCATTTGGGGTAGTTCTGTTTCCCAGCTCCCATTCTTGAATTTTTTTTTTTTTTTCCCAAAGAAAAGCACTCAGTCTTTAAAAAAATACACACAAAAAAAACCCCCCAAAACACGGGAAAGATCAAGTGTAGTAAGTTACAATTTTATTTAAGGTCACCAGTAAAAAGGCTTTTTAAAAAGGTTATCAGAATTATAACCTATTCCTGCTGTGCAATCAGCTCAACCCCATCACAACTCTGCCCAGCAGGAGCTAATGCTACACTATCAAGTGAACATGCTTATGGCCTGCAAAGGGGTTAATTAACAATAAGGAGTTTTAGCAGAAGCCTCCATTTGCACAAGTGTTGGCTGTCCTTTGATGGGCACAGTGGGTGAGGATCCCAGCCACCCGCACCAGTCCTGTAACCTTGTTGTTCACAAGGCCCCAGCTGTGGCAAGCCTGCAGGCACCAACGTCAAGTTTTCAGCATGAACTGGAGCTTCATGGGGGCTTTCTCATCAGAGCCTTTGCCTATTGCCTTAGGGGAGAAGCACTGCAATCATTAGTTTCGCGTTCCTTAAATCAGAGAAATGATCTGGCTTTTGGAAACAATCTGACAGCACTTTCTGGAAATTGGGGATGGTAGACACACCGTGAGAGCACCAGGCAGCTCTTTCATTTCTTGCTTGGCATTGACTCACTCCCCTCACTGCATTCCCTGCACTAACCAGAAAGCACAAATTCTTGGCTTAGCATAGATGAGATTGCACAGATCTGGGGCACCCTTGAGGTCTGCCTTTTTCTCTGGTCACACACTCCCCAGTCACCAGGGAACTCACTTAATCATCTTTGAAATAAACCTCATTTGCAGGTGTAAGGTGGCCCATGACCTATGATAGGGAAGGTAAATTTGCCTCAATACATGTGCTAGCTCTGATTGTGAGTGGAAGCCTGAGAAACTTGTGTGGGAAAGGACTTTGAAGCCTCATCTGGGCATGATAGGGAAGAGTGCTGTAATTGATTAGTGGTATCTGCCATGAGCATGGAAGGGAGGATTGGGACAACGTACAACACATTTGCCATCTGTATCCTAGGATTTAACTCCATCTTCCAGCAGAAGATTACTAAGGCAGTTTTGCCTGAGATATTTAGTAATTATCTTAATTTCAAGGCTGTCTGGTGATATCTCATGTTTGTTATCCTTACTTATATCACTAAGATTTTGGCACTTGTGTGTTCCCTGACTAATGATAAGAAAAGAAAGTGAGATAAATGAATATTTATTAAGCACCTACTAATTGTCAGTTATTCTTTTAGGAGCTTTAAAAAATGTATCTCATCAAATATTCAAAATAAACCTATAAAATCAGAATACTACTCCTCTTTTTAAAAAAGAAATGAAGGCTCAGAGAAGTAAAATATTTGCTTAAACCATAATAGAAAATTTCAAATCCAAGGATAATACTCATTCTGATATACTTGGGCAGTGGGTCTCAATCTTGGGAAGATTAAAAAAAATTTTAAAGTACAGATGACTGCATCTCATCATAGATAATTACATCAGAATCTCCAGGAAAGGGAAGCTTAGGCATAAGAATGATGCTAAAAATTCCCCAGTTGATTCTTACCTGCAGCCAGGTGCAAGAACCACACACCAAGGGGGTAGTGAGCAAGATAAATCACCTTTATAGAATGTCTACTCTGAGGCTAGTTTTTCTTTTCCCCCTATATTCTATCTAATTTAATTTTTACACAATTCCTTAAAGCTTCATTTTACCTATGAGGGAAAGTTGAGGCTCAGAAAACCTCAGTACATTTCTGAAGATCATGCAGTAAAACTGGAATTTGAATGCAAATCTGTTTGGTTTCAAAGCACTTGCTCTTTCCACGTCTCCATGCTTCTTCCATTAGGTTTCTGAACCCAGGCTCCATCCTTAAC